CCCCCTGGGGGGTGATTTCTCACTTTCTGTCTCTCTATCTCTTTCTGTCTTTCTGGCGAGCACACGCGCCCCATAGCAAAAACCTCTCAAAAAAGAAAAAAAGCTTGTGGAAAATGAAGTTACAGTATGAGTTTTTTTTTCCTTCAAGAATTACTTTATTTTATTTAGTGTTATTATTTCTAATTTGACCAGAGATAGACAGAGAGAGAGAGAGAAAGGGAAAGTAAGAAAGCAAGCTACCAAGTCCAGGACTTGAACCGTGGTTGGCCATGTGGGAGTCCAGTGCCTTAACCACTGTGTCACCTGTCAGCCCCACCGTATGAGTTTATTTTGGTCCCAAAATGTTTGAAATGCCTGCGTAATTGATAGTATGTATTTTCATTAACTTTGTGAAGACCCTTCATGTAAATATATAAGCATCTATAAATAATGGCAGTCTATGGTATGATACAAGTTGACGTCTGTCTGTGAATGAGAGGGTCGCCAAATCTTGATCATGGCCATATCCCCTATCTCATGGTTACCTCTCCCCCTTTGTAAGCTCCCTGCCTGTCATCTCCAGCAGCCAGTGATCTGCTTGCTTTCTTTCTTTGTTTTTTTTTTGCCCTAGTACATGTATAGTTGCCAGAAAGAGAGAGACAGTAAGAGGGAAAGTGAGAAATCACCCCCAGTGTGGATGGCCGTGCTGCAATCCTTCCTCCATTTTCCTCCTGGGATTTTGGGCACGCATGTACACGTGCCAGGTGTGATTTTCAAGTTGCCAGGCCTGGGGTTTGAACCATGGTTGGCTATGTGGGAGTCCAGCATCTTAACCACCACCTGCTGGCCCCAATAAAATAATCCTTTTTAAAAAAGAAGACTCGGGCCAGCAGGTGGCATGGTGGTTAAAGGTGCTGGACTCCCACATGGCCGACCGTGGTTCAAGTCCTGGACCTGGCAGCTTGCTTTCTCGCTTTCCCTCTCTCTCTTTCTCTTTCTCTGATTGAACTAGAAAATAATAATAATAAATAAAGTTAAATTAAAAAATAATTCTTTAAAAAAAAAACAAGAAGACTCAAATGGCTGTATGTACATAGACTTATCTCTGGCCCCCATTCTGTCCCGCCGGTCTGGGTACTTTTTGCCTACGTCGAGCTGTTACTGTTACTGTAGCTCTGTGGAGTGTTTCGAAACCCGGAAGTGTGGTGGTTCCGGTTCTGTTCTTGTAGCTCAGGGTTGCTTTGGCAATGTCAGTTTCCTTATAGTATACCGAGTACTTAACCAATCTAAGCATTGAATTCAGTGTATTTATAACCTGTTTATACATGCAGTATATAAATGTATGTGCCATTATACAAACATATTGCGTACGTTGTAATTTATACTAAATGAGTATACTCACATATTTGTATGGAAATACAATGACTGGGCCAACCCACGGTGTGGTCGTTAAGGTGACGGGATTGCACATGGCCTACTATGCACCCTTGCGTTCATTTTCTATTTATTTATTTATTTTTGGAGAGATTTTTGCCATAGGGCCTGTGCACTCACCGGAGAGACAGAGAGAGAAAGTGAGAAATCATCCCCCCAGGGTAGTGGCCACGCCGCAGTCCCTTCTCGTCCATTCTCCTCCTGGGATCTTGGGCACGCACATACACGTGCCTGGCATGTTTTAAGCTACCGAGTCCAGGACTCAAACCGCAGCCATGTGAGAGTCTAGCGAAGTAACGCCTACGCCATCTGCTGGTCCCTGCGTGTATGTTTTATAGGTCTCCTGTTGGTTGAGAAGTCTCTGTGGCTTCAGGACCATCTTGGAGGTGGGCGGGCGCAGCCACCATCTCCACACCCCGTGCTCACAGAGGGCGTTTCTCACCTCCTTCCCGCAGAAGGATCTCCTCCTCTCCGAGATTCCGAGCGGCACCGTGTCGCTCTGCTCCAGGAAGACGGACGTGGAGAAGGTGATGGCCAGAGACTCCCTGGAGAAGGGGCCGGGGCGGCTGCCTGAGGACTGCGCCGAGCCCCGGCCCCCCCCCGTCTGCCTCTGCCTGCGGAGGCGGAATGCCAGCCTGGAGGAGGTGAGCCTCAGCCTCAGCTTGGCCTCCCCGCTGCGGCTCACGTGGGCCTGCTCCAGGGACCAGGCTTTGCCGGTCTGCTCTCCTAAACCAGCGCTGTGTTTGGTCGTGAGTAGTGGAATGTGTGGGAGCTCGTGTTAGCAAAAGGGGGCCGTGTATGGATCGCAGGTGTGTGTGGGCCCGGGTGCAGGGCCAGACCCTCAGGAGGTAACGGAACTCTGCTCGCTCGCTCTCAGTCTGCTCCACCCTCTTCTCTCTGAGCTCTGTCTCTCTCCCTCCGTCCTCCTGGCACGAGAACATGGCCGCCTCCGTTTATATGTTACGGTTCCACACCCCTCTAGCTAGGTCTGCCTTTCCCGGTTCCAGCCTGTCAGAGAGAGAACCTGATTGGTCTAGCTCGCATCAGGTGCCCGCCTCTCTACCAGGCAGGGAGGTGAGGCAGGTCCAGTGTGTAATCCTGGCTGCCGGGGGCTCGGTCCCTGTGGTGACAGGACGAGGTCCTGGAGGAAGGGAGCACGCGCAGTCCAGGAAGCGGCCACCACAGGGCGGAAGACGTTTTCCTATGGATGTGACAAGTGCAGGTGGCTTTCAGGGTGAAAGGTGGAAATTTGGGAACTAGTGCTCGGTCTTTCTAAGGACAAGTCACCTCCCCCGGAAGGCCCTTAGAGATCACCTAGTCGAGTGAATTTCAGGTGGCGTCTGCCAGAGGGGGGCTCACGGGGAACACTGAGTGGTTGTCGGCAGGAGCTGCGGGAGCTGAAGTCACTCACTTTCACTTCCCATAGTCACGGCGGGTTGCTAATATTTCACCGGAGGTGGAGTTCCACATTTGGAAAAAGTTCAATAGTTCGAGAGTTGGGGAAGTGACGGCCCAGCGAAGAGTTCTTTTTTCTTTTTTTGAGAGATTTTTGCTATAGGGTGCATGTGCTCACCAGAGACAGACAGAAAGTGAGAAATCACCCACCAGGGAGATGGCCACGCCACAGTCCCTTCTCCTCCATTCTTCTCTCAGGATCTTGGGTACGCACGCACACATGCCTGGCGTGAGTCTTAAGCTGCCGGGTCCGGGACGTGAACTGTGGTCGATTACGTGGGAGTCCAGCAATGTAACTGCTATGCCTTCTGCTGGTCCCAGAGGAACAGGAGCTCTGTCAGAGCTGTCTGGACCCAGTTAGCACTACCATGGGGCAGGAGCTGGAGGCCTGAATCATCGTCCGAAGCCTGGGCTAGAACCAGTGCCGCTCAAGTGCCCGAGTGCCATGGTGTCCAGTCGTCCACTCGGCAGCCACGTGGTGGCCCAGGGCACCCTCTGCCAGGGACCCAGGCACACTCTGCTCTCTGCTCCTGGAGCTCCCAGTCTGAACGCTGAGCACCAGGGGAGTGCATGACGGGGACGCCACCCTAGAGGGCCTCCTTGAGTTAGTGGTGTCTAAGCAACCACCAGCAGCCCAAGGGAAGGAGCAGGTTAGGCAGATGGCCTGGGCTGAGCGAGCCCGGCCTGGGCAGGGTGACTGGAGCACAGAGTGGCTCATGGAGCAGGGTGGCCGTGACGAGTGGTGAGGAGGGAGCAGCCCGGGAGTTTGGGAAAGTGACTGACGCTTTTCAGCATGGGTAGGACACGATCAGATTTATATTCTGAAGAAATCTCTCTTGGTGGCTGGGCGGTGCTGTGGTGGTTAAAGCAGCCGGACCCCATATGGCTGACTGCATGGTTCAAGTCTGGACTTGGCAACTTAGAAACAGAGGACTCTCTCTCCTCTGGCTCCTTATTCTTTCACTCAGCCATTTACCTCTTTATTCATTCCATTTGTTTGTTCAGTGTATCAGTTACTGGAGGGCGCAGCTGTTGTAATAAGGATGCTGCAGGACCAGCAGGTGGCGTGGTGGTTCAGGTGCTGGACACTCCCACATGGCCGACCATAGTTCGAGTCCTGGACCTGGTGGCTTTTTTCTCACTTTCCCTCTCTCTCTTTTCTCCTCTGTGTCTCTCTCTGGTCAAATTGAAATAAACGAGGGAACCAGCAGTTAGTGTAATGGCTATGTCGCTGGACTCCCACGTAGTCGAACATGGTTCGCGTCCTGGACCCAGTGGCTTAAAACCCATGCTGGGCGCGTGTGCGTGCGTGCCCAAGATCCCGAGAGGAGAATGGAGGAGAAGGGATTGCAGCATGGCCATCCCCCCTGGGGGGTGATTTCTCACTTTCTGTCTCTCTGTCTATCTCTGTCTGTCTGGCGAGCGCATGCGCCCTATAGCAAAAACCTCTCCAAAAAAAAAAATTGAAGTAAATGAGTGAATAAATAAAATTAAATAAATAAATATTTAATAGAAAAAAATAAGGATGCTGCATCACGTGGTAGTTTAGACAAGATAGGGTTTTTATTTTTAAGAATTATTTAACGTTATTTATTTTAATTTTATTTATTCATTCATTTATTTTAATTTGATTAGAGAGAGAGACACACAGAGAGAGAGAGAGAGGGAAAGTGAGAAAGCAAGCTACCAGGTCCAGGACTTGAACCATGGTCAGCCATGTGGGAGTGTCC